TACTTCCTGCAGCTAAAAAAAAATTCTTATTAGCTCACAACAAAGCTGTCTCGATACACAAACCTACGTAACAACAAAACCATTGTCTTAACTGCAACCAAGACTTTCCCCCAAAATAAAGGTCTAATGTGTTTTGAGTGGCTAGACAGTCTAACTGCGATAAAATTGCGTTAGCTAGCTATTCTATAAAGTGAGCGGAGCCAGAAGATACGCAAAGATTCTAGAAACTGTCACGTCGACTGTATCGGTGAATTGTGGGAAATGTAGTTAATACGAAATAACGGTGATTTACAGTTTACTGACCAGTTATGAAAACACAAAGGGAAAATTATTGTTACTATTTCACTCATAGAGTACAGGGGCTTAACTTAGAAAAAGTGAATTGAACAGCAATTCAACAATAACAAACAAAATATATTCGTTCAATATTATAAATAAAGCAACTTTCTAACAGTGAAAGCAGGATGCAATAACTGGAAAATAGATAAAACACAAGATAGACATCTCCCTGTAATATTTGTCTTGTAGTGTTCACGTCACTGAAAAAAAACCCTCCAAAACAACATTGTTTCACGCTGCCCTGCGCATCTTTAAAGGAAAGAGGACTGCTGACTGCTAACAAAGCACCGTTCGCATTTTTTCACTGGCTTGTCCACTCAAATGACAAGTCATGTGACCCTTATATATCAGAAGTTGCTATCTGTGCTTGTTTTCTTATCGATTTCTCATTCTTGACTCTGGAGTTTCCTTCAGGAGGTAGCGTAGTACCGTGTACAGCTTTTCCTCAACCTCTGAAAACTGCAGTGAAGCAACTTCATAATAAGGAATTTATTGTTTTGACGTTTAGTAGTTTCTCTTTAAATCACTGTAAATGTGTTTTAATCAAAAAATATTATGATATTTAGTTAGTGATGAATATGTTTTTAACGTGTCTGTGTAACGTGTTGTTTTTTTATGCAGTTGTATTGCTATATTAACACCTGTGTGTAACAGTGGTCAATAGTTATGTAGTTATAATTCCACAACATTGTTTTATTTGTTCTACCTGACGGAAGTGGGTTGATCCTCCCTGGGCGTAAACTTGACGTAGGGGAGACCGGGTATGGTTGTAACACTTTTTGCTTCAGGACCTGTAACTCACTGAATTTTTGAGCAAGAGTTCTCAAACTTTTATACAAAGTACCCACATTTGTTTACTACAAATGGCATTGAATCAAACCTCTGCAAGAATATCACAATCCTCGTAAGTTGATGTCAAATACATGGAGTTCCTTTGTTACAACCTACCCCACTACTCGGGTAGGTTGTAACACATGCTGGGGTAAGTTGTAACAGTTAGACAAAAGAAGCAAAAACAGAGGTCACACCATGCGACATGCTGTAAAAAGAGGCTGGGGGTCCGCTGTTAAGTATCAGATTACATATCATGTGATCGTGTGTGAGTATATGAATGGGTATGGAGTAAGAAGGTGGGTGTGAATGTGAGTGTGGCTGTGTCTGGTAATTTCTCCATCAGTCTTGAGCACACTAGATTATAATATGAGAAGCAAACAGTTCCTTAAAGCGACAGTACAGCATGAAGCAATGGTAATAAATAAAATTATTCCAACACCGCTTCATAGAAAATGTGAACTAGTCAGAAGCCACCTGCTTCTCATCCGATGTTTGTGGGTGATTGATGTTATATATTACTGCCAGTTGATATGAAAAATTTCTAACCTAAAAGAAAGTGGAATAGAAAACCTGAGAACATAGACACAAAACGTTTGTCTGGCACCTACACTAGTATTCAATTCTTCTCTGGTCTCCAGTGATTAACCTGTCATATGTTTACCTCACATGGAGTCAGTCCATAATACAGGTCTGCTGCCTCAGCCAACACTTCTTCTGCACCTCAGAGAAAACTTTGTTGCTGCTTCAGTAAACTGGGAAGATCAATGGATTTCATGTGCCTTCGCAACTGATCTGACTGACTTGCCTTTCTTTGTGACCTCATCAGATTCTTTTTTTTAAAACATTTGCAGGCAGACCTCTGTCAGTCTTTCTTGTCCACTGCCTAGGCATTCTGTAAAATGTATTAAAATTAATAAAGTGTTCTTAGTTGTATGTAAGGGGATGGTTGTAACACTTTTTAAAGATGTGTTACAACCCACCCCACCCCTGTCAGTCATTGTTTAGCTAGCTGTATTAGCATAGTAGTTTGAAATTAGCAGGGGAAAAATGCATCACAGTATGCCTGAGAAACTACAATTTAATCTAATGTAAGTCATATCGTTTTATGTACAATAGTATAAATACTAAACAAAATATAGTCTTGGTCAAAAAATTTACTTTATTACATCAAAATCATTTTTTTCTCTACAGAATCTGCATGCGCCTGTTTCCAACCTTGACAACCACCATGTGGGATCGGGGAGGAAGGGGGTAAACACTGAAATTATCGTATAACTCCTATCTTATCCCTAATTGGTGGAATTGGTGGTGTTACAACTCTCCCCATGTTACAACCCTACCCGGTCTCCCCTATATATTTTTGATATAAAAAGTCACACCCAACCTTTACCTCTTTCTTCGGTTAGTGTTTTTCCATTGCTCCTTGTTTTCAACATTTTATTTAATTCTGTACAATATATTGGGGTGTCCAGGAGGAAAATTCATTTTGTTCTATGTGAATTTCGTCAGGTATGTTTCCATGTTGTACACTGTTTGCGCCCTCTTTCTTCGGACTTTGTGGGAGAGGGGCTCGGGTGGTGTCCAGGAGGAAAATTTATTTTGTTCTATGTGAATTTTGTCAGATCAATCATGAAAACCTTGCTTTCATTAAACACAACGCAGAGGCTACACCGGTTACATGTGTATTCAAATAGGTAATCCAAAATTATATTTTGGGTCTTTATATCAGTTCTACTGGCCTTTGCCTCCAGCAAGTCGTGTGGTATGTAACGTTTTAGTTATTATTAAAAAAAGTCTTGTCATTACACCGTTAGTTCTTCTTTGATGCCAAACAGGGAAACCTGGGAACATTTGTCTGGCTGTCGTAATGCAGTTTTCTCACCACAGTTTACTGTTGTAGGGCTTTAGTGTATACCAAATGTTTGACATGTGTAGGTACTACAACAGTCCTGTCAAGGACTCGAACTCCCATAATTCCACTGCTTCCGGTAAATCCACATACGTCACGATCAGTAACCTCCGCAACCTTTAAATTGGGGGGTCAGCCCAATATCGTTCTCTCTGTTCAGGACTTTCGCTCCGTAGCACCTCGATGAAAACAGAATACCGGCTCGTCTCAGAAGACTAAGAACCACCGCGCTTTTGTAGACACCATTGCCCACGGTGATAAATGCACTAGTAGCGTCTTTTTCTTTACTGAGTTAACCGGTAATTAAGTTACACAAGTAACGTAGCGCGCCGACCAAAGCAGTTATTGAAAAGTTAGAAGCTACATGATTCCTTCTAACGGAATTCGTGTGAACCGGCACATCGACAGTCAGAGACTTTTCCTCCTGAAACGGACTTTCGGAACCAAGAGGACAAGCACTGTTTCATGGTACCTGAGCGCATCTTGGTGCGCGTACACAACACCCATTCACACCTCCGTGAGCGCATACACGCCTCACGTGTTTCCTGTTGCCGTTCCTTCTACCTCGCAGTTCTTCCTCCACTGCGCAGTCGCGTATGTGAACACGCCTCAAGGGCTCAGTCGCTTGCTTGGTGGCTAAGAGGCAACATCTCTCTCTCGTACACGACCACTCGTGTACACACGCACATAAGCACACACACACACACCTACACACCCCTTGTTTTGTTATAATGATCATTGTTTATGAGTTCAATCACCGTCATTAACTTGACAGTGTTGTATAAATAAATTTGATTATTTTTGTAAACTGTGTTTGGCTGTGTTGTTACTTTATTCATTGAAGCCACCCAATTTGCCAAGAACTCTCAAAATCCTTCAGATATTTAATTGTTATTGGATACTATTGATTTTTGTATATTTGTAATACTTCAAGTAATACATTATTGCTATATTAATAGGTTAAAATAATAATTAAAGATAACTTTAATGAGACTGGTTGTGTTATTAATTTGAGACTGGTTGATAACACCGAGTGCTCATACGCAGCACTCGACCCATTGCACCTACACATGTAAGTTCTCCGAATCATGATTGCTCCACAGTGTTTGCATCCACCTTTCCAGTGTGACGGCTGAGGTAGCATTTGTGCTTTTGTGTGGCTTCACAATTCACATTTATGTCAGCAGTTGAATGCTTTTAAAACATTTTTCTCTGACTATTTTATCCAGATACTGAGGAATCAAACAATGAGCTCAGCCTTTCTCTCAATAACCTCCTTCATTCCCTGGAGACTCAAAATGGACACCCCAATCCCAGCGTTCACCTGGCATTAAGACTCTCCAATTTGCACATCTTGCAAAAGAGACCTAACACCTAAATAAACTAAAAACTGATATTCACAATATCCTACAAGAGTAATTTGTTTATCAAGTACTTTTAAGATCTCTACATTTAACTTTTTGTTATGGGATGTAAAATCTTTGTCTCACTTGTCTGTTCCAGTTCTTTCTCAACAACCATCCTGGGGTTGGCCAGCTAGCACTGTACACTCTGGCACTGAGGTCCTCCTGCTATGATCTTAACACAGTTTTCGTCACCATCAGTGGAAAGACAATGACACTGCTGACACATCTGAAGAGGCAGATGGAACAGGAGAAAGAACATATTGACGGTCAGTTTCCATTTGATTTATGGAGTAAATAAAATGCAGATAGAAACTGGGTTGGTGCATTTTGGAAAAGAAAACACTTTTTTTCATTTACTTTTCTACACAGTCAGCAAATGACCTTTGACCAACTACTGCCAGTACTCCATGGGAATAGTTGCTCTTTGCACGAATAGCGTCGGGTGAACAGCCATTCGTATCAGCCAATCTCCAACAAGCTGATCGAAGCAGTGGAAGACCAACACTTAACACATGGAGACACTGGCAGTGTTGGTGAGTTGTGTTAGCTGTAAGTAAGCAGCACTTTTAAATATACATATCATAATGTGTAAATCATAAATCATATTAACAAACAGCTAGAATGAACATGAACACAAAGAGTGAGAGGAGACAGTGTCATCATCACTAAACTGTTAGCGAAGCAAAGGTAAAGCTAAGCAAAGTTTAAAAAACATGTCTTTTGGATGATGTCTTCCAAAAGTCTGACAGATAACGAACTTAAAGGTACAGGTGTAGAATAGTAGGATTTCCATTCCCTTACACAGTTTCCCTGAAAATCTAGTTATCTAGTTCAGTGGTCCCCAAGCCTTGGGCTGTGGACCGGCACCGGTCCATGAGTCAATTAGTACCGGGCCGCACAGAAAGAATGCATAACTTTCATTATTTCCGTTTTATTTATGATCTGATTCTGAACGATGTTTTATTTTGATTTTAATTCTGAACAATGTTTCATTTTAATTACCGGATTCTCTCTGCCGCATTCTATGACTCACTCTTGATACATGTCAAGATGCTGGCCTCGGTCACATGTCTTACCTACATCCGCTGCCTTCTTAAAAGATAAGTAAAACATAATACACACCGCTAAATTGAAACCCTCAAGCTAGCAAAAAGAACAGAAAACAAACATCTTTGGAAAGTTTCTTTGCATAGGGTAAAAGAGCCAGTGAAGACAGAAGACAGAAGTTGAGCCTTTGTCACAACCTGCTGCACATGATGTACCGGGATTCTCAGTGCTGGTCGTACACATTTCAGACCTTTTCGTGTATGAGTCGTTTAAGAACTCAGCTGGAGCCTGTTCCTGCTCGCCTGCTCTACTCAAAAGGAACACCTGTCCAGTTGTATGAACGCTCAGTGTACAGTGACAGGTGAGTCAGCGTCAGATAAAAAATATCCAGTCAAATGTAAAATAGAAGCCTAGGTGCGAATCTGTGATCTGAAAGATGGGTTTGAAAATGTCCTCTTTCATTAAAAAATATTTTATGGACTATGAGAATAATGATTTATTAGATGATGATGGAAGCATTATTCATGTAAATATGTTTATTTTTAAAACATTTATTATTTCTTTATTATCATAAAATCATCAGTAAATAATAACTTTTTGCTTTATTATCTTATGAACCAATTCAGCATTTTCTAGGTTAGGTATATATTTGCCCTCAACATGTTCAAGCTGGGATGCATCAACTCCACAGAGTGGGCAGTCTGCCAGGACTGGCACTCCTTTGTGGTGGAGCAGCTTGGACACCAGGTGGAGCTGGAGGGTATTATCTTCCTCAGAGCCACACAATGAAGTTCATTGTCATCGCTACACCCTTATTTTTAGCAGTGTGTGAGGATGGTGTCTGTAAAAGATTTCACCGTATGTTTGTATGAAATACGAAAGAGGTAATACTTTTTATTTTATTATTGCGTGATTACTGTGCATATACTGCTATATACCTTTAGTTCTATACTGTATGATGCTATGTCTGACCCATTGTGGTTGTAATGCTACTTTTATTCCCCAGGTAAAGAACTTTTTTCTCTTCTGTCTTTGTGATAAGACAGTCATCAATGAGAAGAAACAAGAAAAACATCAGTTAGTTGTCTGCGTTGACTCATCTGTGAACGCCATCCATCCATCCATCCATCTTCAACCGCTTATCCGGGGCCGGGTCGCGGGGGCAACAGTCTGAGCAGGGACACCCAGACTTCCCTCTCCCTCGACACTTCCTCCAGCTCTTCTGGGGGGACCCCAAGGCGTTCCCAGGCCAGCCGAGCGACGTAGTCGCTCCAGCGTGTCCTAGGTCTTCCCCTAGGTCTCTTCCCAGAGGGACGGCACCCGAGCACCTCCCGAGGGAGGCGTCCGGGGGGCATGCGATGTAAATGCCCAAGCCACCTCAGCTGACTCCTCTCGATGTGGAGGAGCAGCGGCTCTACTTCGAGCTCCTCCCGCGTGACAGAGCTCCTCACCCTATCTCTAAGGGAGCGCTCTGCCACCCTGCGGAGAAAGCTCATTTCAGCCGCTTGAATCCTTGATCTCGTTCTTTCGGTCATGACCCACAACTCATGACCATAGGTGAGGGTAGGAACGTAGATTGACCGGTAAATTGAGAGCTTCGCTTTTCGGCTCAGCTCCTTCTTCACCACAACGGACCGATACAGCGACCGCATTACTGCGGCCGCAGCACCGATCCGCCTGTCAATCTCACGCTCGATTCTACCGTCACTCGTGAACAAGACCCCCAGATATTTGAACTCCTCCACCTGAGGCAGGACTTCATCCCCGACCCGAAGGGTGCATACCACCTTTTTCCGGTCGAGAACCATGGCCTCGGACTTAGAGGTGCTAATTTTCATCCCAGCTGCGTTACACTCTACTGCAAACCGCCCCAGTGCATGCTGCAGGTCCTGGTTCGAAGAAGCCAACAACACCACATCATCTGCAAAAAGCAGAGATGAAATCCGGTGGCTACCGAACTGGACCCCACCCGACACCTGGCTGCGCCTAGAAATTCTGTCCATGAAAATAATGAACAGAACCGGTGACAAAGG